TTAGCTGCTCATACCTTCGCACCAGGGGGTGAATTTGTTAGGAGAAAAAGGAGCATCGATTGCAGATTTCTGTGCTAAAGTCAAGTCGTGGAACATGGGAAGTCATCTAAGTGCCCAGCAATAAGGGATTGGCGGGATAAATGATGGCTCACTGGCTTGCTGGAATGGTGTGCAGCCATTAAAATTCAAATGGCACTCAGGGTGACCGGGGTGCAGCCCCCATGTCTCCCATGGCTCGGACGGGCTGTGAGGGAAGCGTCAGCAGCAGGCGGCGGCGTGTGTCCGCACAGTGGCCCCCGCTGTGTGCTACGGCCCGGGGGCGGGGCTCCAGGTGACTCTGCGTACTTTTTCCCGTGTGCTGTCCAAACAGCCGTAAATTCCCACGAGTCTCTCTCAGTTTATTTTGTTTTAATCTGGAGACAACATAGGACCTCCTAAAGTCAAGGAGCCTGGTTTACACAATGTGTTTGGCGTCTGTGGTGAGTGAATTCTCTGAGTCCGTTTGTCTTTGTTTTGCCGGAACTTTCAAAAAGCTTCCCTAGACAATACCAGCGCTTACCCAACAAGTCTTACCAGCACCAGAGAACACCTGGTAAGTTCAGAAAACCTGTCTCTCCCTGTCGGCCTTGGTCCCAGCTCCCTCGGCCCAGGTGATCGTCAGTACTTAGCTCACAGGTTTCAAACGTAAGCCAGTTTACCTTCCTCCAGGTGAGCAATTAGTGAAGCAAATCACCGCTGACACGTGTGGCACGTCCGATGCTCGTGCGTCGGGGCCCTGGGAGCAGGTGCCCTGGCTGGCGCCGCGCCCCTTTCAGCAGCACCTGGAGGCAGGGGCGACGGGCGGGTGCCTGGGTGTCTGTAGAGCAGCGTCTGCGTCTGAACAGCAGCCTCTCTGCTGAAGGCGAGTAACAAACCCGTGGAACGTAGGCGGCGGGTATAATTGTGGCATCAGAGTTGTGTGGGTTGAACACATCCACGTCTCACTGTCACAGTAAAGACGCAGGCTCCTGCCCTGCCAGCTCAGTGGGCTGGAACGTTGTCCCCTCCACACCGAGGCTGTGGGTTCAATCCCCAGTCCAGGCACATGCAGGAAGCAACCAGTGAGTGCGGCTGTGGGTAGAGCAACAAATCGATGCCTTTCTGGACCCCTTCCCTCCCGCCCTCCCTCCATCCCTCTTTCTCTAAAATCAATTGAAAATAGATATAACAAACTTCTGCGAATAACTCTTCTTATTGGCATTTGGACCTCGTTTGATCAGGAAGGATTTAGCCTTGTTTTCTCACTCAGTAAATATTCGAGGACCTCTCCCACTTGGGGAATAAGTTTATTAACTAGGCTTTTCTCTCAAGATATTTGGTCTTGGTCAGGGAATCCTGTCAGCCGTCCTTCAAGTTCCCCACCCGTTCCAGATGTGGTCAGTCTGCGCAGTGGTGGGGGCGTTCCCAATTCGCCCGGAAGAGCGGAGACCCACGGACAGGAGCTGGAGAGCGCAGCTCGGAGGCGGCCGTCTCTTCCCTCTTCTCGCCCTTTTCCTTCACCTTAGGATTGCCCAGCGGTGTGGCCGGGCTGGGGCCGAGAAGGACGGAGCCCCGGGGGGAGAGGTGGGATGGCTCCTTCCTTCCTTCTCAGTGGAGGGGCCCCGGCTAGTAAAATCCCGGTGCAGGACTGGAGAGCACCGGACACAGGGGGCGGGGGGTAAAGGAGCGGTCCCGTTTCTGGGGAGGCGGGTAGGAGCACCTCTCAAAAGCAGACAAAAACGGAAAACAACTCCTGTAGGGGGCCTGCTCGGGACTCTCACTCCCAGGACGCGACCGAGGAGTGTGGGGACCTGCCGCCGCGCGACGTCGAGGACGCCCGCAGAGCTCGCCGGGGTTGGACAGGTGGACCTGCTCCTTCTAAGTTTGTTCACGCCGCCCTCCGGTTTCCTGCTCTCCCTTGTTTTGTTTTTTAAATCTCAGGATACATGAGAATTTGGGGGTGTGAGTATGTTCCTTTTTCTTATCGTCACCATAGAAAGCTAGACGCATTGTGTGGACTTCAACACGTAAGGATTGTAGGGTGTTCCATTCTGCAAATGCCTGTCACCTTGGCTTTGAAAAATGGCCGTGGTCCTTATGCTGCTGTCCCCTGGAGAGGCCGTGTCTCTGTGCACGGGGAGACATGTTTCTGAGCAGGCAGTGGCCGTCCTTCATTCCAAAGGACGCCTGTGGTTCTCAGGCCACACTGCCCTCCTTCCCGGTTCTGCCATTTCACCCTGGTGTGAGGGTCCGTGTCCTCGGGTCCTGGCACCCAGCTCACGTTGAGGCACACGGCCCCCCTCATGGCCGTGTGGACGTGGGGCGGGTAGGTTCACACGCTGAACTGGGGTCCTGGGGGACATGGGGGGCAGACGTGCACACTGAACCAGGGGTCCTGGGTCTGGGCGAGTGGGGCTGAGTCCAGGAGGGGTGAGTCCGAATGGAGGGACCCGTGAGTGGGTGACCGGTTGTGGCCACCTGTTGGCGGGAGGCAGGGCTGGGCTGGAGTGTATGGGAGCCCCTGGGGGTGGGGGTGAAATTTTGCCAGGAGGCGACATTGGTGCTCTGTGCCGCTGTGGTAAAGGGTGTTCCGAGGGCCCAGGGCCTGCCTGGGCTGTTGTTCCAGAGAGACGAGCTGGGTGCACAGGGTTCTGTGCCCTGCACGGGGTGGGGGGGCGGGTGATTTGTGCTCTGGAAGGGACCCTGGAGGTCACAGGGACCACGGCGGAGGCCTTCAGAGGGGACAGGACTGGAACCCTGCGGTGGGACAGGTCTCACTTGGAAGGTGTTTTGGTAGGGGCATCGGAGGTGGGGTGGAAGGGCCAGGATTCGGAGACCTGTTGGCTCCACAGCATGAGGGAGGACGACCCAGGGAAGCTGCTGAGGTTTCCATTTGGGCCAGTGTCTCCGGGAGGGAGCAGGGTGGAGAAGGACCTGGAGTCGTGTGTGGACTCACTGAGTCTGACGCATCGCCTGGCAGAGCTGCCTGGCTGGCAGGGGGTCAGTTTCTTCGCACCTTGAATCCTGGGGCCTCCCGACTCAGCCACTCAGTCTGCAGTAGGCTCGCCCCGGGGCTGGTGCTTCACTCACTTGTCTCAGCGATGGGGGGGACACCTGCACCTCAGCCGTGCTCCCCAGAGGCGGCTGCCGCCCGCCCAGCGCGTGGGCTCTTCCGGAGACTCGCCTGGCTTCCAGGCCTGCACATCCCAAGGACCGGCGACTCAGACGAGCGCCAACTCACTGCAGGCAGCACTGGGACTTCCCATGCGCGGGTTTGGGGTCCCTCAGTGTCCCCCACAGGCCAGCGGCCAGCTGCTGAGCTCCTCCTGTGGTCCCTAGGGCTTCCGGGCCGCCGGTGGTGTTGCTCTTGGTCTGCAAGGGTGGCTGGTTAGGGTAACTCCGGTTCTCCTTTAAGTGCCAGTTTTCTTCAGTCATTACTTTCTCTTGGTATCCAAATCTTGTAAGAACGTACAGTGGGAATGAACATGTATGCGTTTTTTAGAGGCGGCCTGTAGAAACTGTACAGTTTTTCCTACTCACCGATGTACTCACTGCACAGGGTGGTGCAGAGCCCTGTTCTTGGGTGGGGGGGCAGTACACACACAGAGATGGAGTGAGACGGTCGAGCCCCCAGCGTCCCTGCGTGCCTGTCCCGAGGTGATGGCTGTTAGCAGCTTCCCTTCCAGAAAAGGTGTCAACACCCGGAGAGGCCTGTGTGTGCGTGGCACATGAAAGGGATCCTGTTGCACGCGTGGTGCGTTTCCTTCCCCTCTCTGCCCCTGTGACTAGGGTTGTCACCGAAGGGAGGGTCTGGGAGTGCTGGGCCCCACGGATGCGCGTGGAGGCACCTCTGGCATTTTTAGTGTCCAGTAGTGCTCCGGGGAGTGTCCTCGCTCCCTCCCAGAGTGCTGGGGAGGGGCCTTGCTGAGGTGCGGGTAGAAGACCCCCCTCCACCCTTGTGTGGCCAGCGGTGCGGGACCCCGATGCAGGGGCTCACCCCGCCTGGGCTCACTTGAGCCATGTGGCCGGCATCCGCGTGGGTGGAGCAGGCCTCCTTCCACGGTGCTTGCTGCCCTCCCAGAGGTGGTGTGGCGCACTCACGCCGGCTTGGCACGCCTGTCCTCTGTCCTGCGTTGGGAGCGGCCTGGTCTTTCTCCTCTCCTTCCTCAGTCCCCGGCCCTTGGGCCTGGGCCCCATGTCCTTGTGTGTGGTTTCCGGAGTCCACTCCTTTCCCGCCACTGGCTCCCAGGCCTCTGCCGGGTAGTGTAGAAGCCGCGCTCCGCATCCGGGCTGGCCCCCCGCCCCCCAGCCCCTCTGTGTCTGTGCAGATCCCAGATGGGCCTTCTGCAGGTACCGCACATCCGGGGCCTCTTCCCGGTCCCTCTCAGAAGCGTTCCCACGCGGGGCTCCCTGTTCCCACCGGGGGGAAGCCCAACCTCCCGCTCGTCTGTCCAAGCCCACGTCACTGGTGCCTTCCGGTCCCTGGAAGCCCAGCTCTGTCCTGGAGCCCTGTGGGCAGCAGTGCCGTTCAGGGCTCAGCGGTGGCCCCAGCAGACATGACGGGAGGCATGCCCTGGCCCCTGTGCGGATGGAGGGCTACCGTGGGGCCGAGGGCCAGGCCTGCTGCTGGAGGCCGACGTGCCGCCGCATCCAGGCCGTCCAGCTCGGGTCCCTGGAGCAGGGGTGCGAGGCGGCGCCGGCCTCACCCCAGTGACAGGTGCTGCGGGGCTGTCAGTCCTCCACCAGGACTCCTGGGACCTCCATAGTTTTCGAAGTGTTTTGGCATTTTTGATGCAGTTCTGTGCGTTCCCATTTTAGCTGGGCGTGAATCGTAGCGTTACAGTTAAGGTAGAAATTTATGGCTGCAAAGTCCTCAGCTGACCTACAAGACTTAATTAGGTGAGATTATTGAAGATACTGATGTTCTGTGGCAGTGGCCCTGCCCATATAACTGTTCTGCTTCCCACCCCACCTCCCTGCAGTCTGCACGAGGAAATCAGTGATTTCTACGAATACATGTCTCCGCGGCCAGAGGAGGAGAAGATGCGGATGGAGGTGGTGAGCCGGATCGAGAGCGTGATCAAGGAGCTCTGGCCCAGCGCGGACGTGAGTGCCCGCTGCCGGGTTGCTGGGTGGGTGGTGTGTGTCGGGGGTCTGTGCCTCTGCCCAGTGTCGTGGAAGGACATTTTGAAGGCCGACAGGTATCTGCAGCCCTTAGAATTGGGCTTCGAGATTACTGGTGTTGGATGGATGCCTCACTTCCTGCATTGCTCCTGACACGCTAGGCGCAGGCGGACCAGGACTCACGCCCCCTGGCGGTCAGGTTATGTTCCCACCTGCCAGGAGACATGCTGTGTGGCCGTTTGTAGCGACTGAACAGGTCAAGTGGGAATGGCTCGTGTTATCTGAAGTTCCTTTTCTTAGGCTGAGGCAGACGTCGCTCCCCGCATGCGTACCCCCGCTCCAGCCTCCTCGCCCGCAGGCGCAGCCTCCTCGCCCGCAGGCGCAGCCCCCAGCCAAGGCTGCCTCCCTGCTCCCTGTGGTCCTTGTTTCCCGCACCCAGGCGGTGCTGCTTGTTTCCGGCTCCTTTGAGGGTCTGGTGGCCAGTCTGGTGGGTTCTGAGAAGTGACCTGTTAGCACCCATTACTGCGCGTCACCCAGCTTGTCTTTAGACTGTGTCCTGAGGTGGCCAAGGGGAAGCGAGGGAGCTGGGTTGGGTTTTCTTCCCAGTGGGCAAAACAAAGATGCTTCAGGTGAGATCCTGCAGGTGACGGGAAGGGGGGAGGACGCTAGTCTTTGACTGCGCAGCCACCACGAGTCATGTTGCTTCTGTTGCCCTAAGTCAGTGGCTCTCAGCTGGGGGGTATTTGCCCCCCAGGAGGCACTTGGCATTATGGGTTGGAGACACCCTTATTAGCAGGACTGGTGAGGTGCTCCTGGCAGACAGCCGTGCAGTCCCCAGGGTTCGCTAAGTGTCCGCCATGCACAAGACAGCCCCCGAGACTGAGAACAGCCTGCCCCAAATGTCAGTGGTGCTGAAGGCCGGAAACCCTGGCCCATCCTCCTCCCTCCCCCTCCCCCCTCTCCCCCCTCCTCCCTGAGGGAGCTCCATCCCTGCTGTTTGACAGCCCCGCTGTGAGCAGGGGCCCGGGTCCGGCCCTCCTCCGAGGCTGTGCTTTTCAGTCATCCCCACGCCCCCAGCCTTTCTTGTGGTCACTCACATACACACCCAGCCTGAGTCTTCCAGCGCTCTGTGCGGCGGACCAGGGTGGACAGAGGATGTGTCCCAGCCTTGTGCCGCTGCAGGGAGTCACGGCCACAGTTCTTGGGCTGGCCTTCGAGCCAGTGCTTGTCCTGCAGGGGGCGTCATCTGGCCCCCAGTCAGTGCTTTGTGAGGTGATCCCTACTCACAGCACACACAGCATGCATTTATGATTACATGGGAGCGTCAGTGACTTGAGTGCCACTTTTGAAAGTTTCCTCTTTTAGTCTGTGTGTTTGATATTTGAACCTAATAGGTTTAACTGCATTCCGAATGTCTGCCTATGGGGTTGGAAAACTGCCCCTGCAGTAATCAAAAGGGCCAGTAGAGGGCAGCAGAAACCAGCATTTCCCCATGGCACCGCGGTAGCTCGGCTGAAAACAATAAAATAATTGTTTCTGTTTCAGGTCCAGATATTTGGGAGTTTCAAAACTGGCCTGTATTTACCTACTAGGTTAGTATATTAATGAAGCTTTCAAGGGTTTGTGCATTTTTCTGGAGTGTATTTATTTTGGCTATTGATTGTGTAAGTGTAGAAACAAACAGATCTTTGAAACAAATTCACTTACTGTACTTGACCTGCATTATCTGGAGGTAGGGTGTCACTAAGGACATCTCATCACACAGTACAGGATTGTTCTGTCATCTCAGGTGGATGCACAGGGGACACACCGCGGTGACATCAGTTAGCACTCATCGCAGCACCCCCCCCCCGCAGGCTGCCTGGCCCCTCCCTCACCCCGTGCCACCATGTCTGTTGGGGGCTCTGTGGGGAGCCCCCTGTTTGTGCCTAAGGGCTGTGCAGGCTCCAGGGCCAGGCCTCCCAGTGTTAAGAGCTCATTCTGTCGCCCACTGTAGGCCTCCCGACGCAGAAACTCGGGTGCAGACCCTCCTGAGGGAGGACGTGGTCTCTCAGGCCCCCTTTATCTCTGTGATCCACAGCAGGGGTGAATGGAGACCTGTTCTCTGCGAGTTGGGGTGTGGTGGTCTTGAAGGGGGGAGCCTTCGTCATGGTTTAGTTTTTGTCCTCATTGTGGTCAGAACAGTTAACGTGAGGTTTGCCCTCCTAACAAATTTCGAAGCGCAGGTAGTAGAGTCTCAGTGGAGTCACAGTGGAGTTGCAGGCGTCCAGCCTGCGGTTCGATTGGGGCTCAATTCGGCTTCTGTCCCTGGTCTTGCACGTGGTGACTCAGACGGACCCCAGCAACTTCCCCTCTTCCCAGTGCTGGCCTGGGCCTGGGAAGCATCTAAAGCCTTCGGCCTGGGGCTCGTCAGTGCCTGTCCGTGTTTAGGTTCTGAACTTCACCAGCGCCCTGAGTCGCTCTTCCTGAAAACCTTGATTGAACTGTGTGAATTGTGGGCACGGCCCCGCAGTTCAGATTTGAGAAGGACACACAGTCACAGGGAGAAGCCGACCGCCCTGTGTCCCCAGCCCCACCCCTCGGAGGGCCTAGGTGCGCTCAGTCCGAGCCTTTCCTTGCAGATGCTCCGTGCATGTGCAAGGAAGTGTGTGCAGGCATGTTTTCTTTGCTATACAAGCGGCGGCCTCTTACCTTCTATACTTGCTAGTCTGAGTGACAGCCACGTGGAGGGTCTCAGGTTTCTAGCCCAGAACCTTGCTCAGCAGGAAATGGTAACTGGTGCTTTTTGAGGTTCTCCTTCTCGCACACTCGCCTTTTCCTGGGGCCTCACTTGTGTGCAGTGACTAAGCGGAGGTGGCTGGTGAAATGGACAGCCTCCCCTCAGCTCCGAGACAGTTGCCACCAGCACCTGGGGCTCCGTGGGGCGGGGGCGGGTTTTCGCAGCCTCAAGCGAGGGGTGCAAGCTTGAGTCTGTGTTACACCAAGCGTGCATCCTTGCTTCTTCAAACCCGCTGTGGGCGTGTGTTCTGTGTCCAGTGACATCGACCTGGTGGTGTTCGGGAAGTGGGAGAACCTCCCCCTCTGGACCCTGGAAGAGGCTCTTCGGAAACACAAAGTCGCAGATGAGGACTCAGTGAAAGTTCTAGACAAAGCCACTGTGAGTCCCCCCATTTCCTCTTCCGGGCCCCCGTCCCTCGTGCAGGAGACTCAGAGCTGGGGTTTGCTGGGTGAGCAGGAGACAGACAGGTGGCCCGGCCCCGCTCAGGTGTTCCTTCCACGGAGTCCCCATGGTGGCTGCACAGCCCTGGGAGGTCTTTCTAGGACCAGGACGTGGCGACGCCGCAACCACTCCCAGGGGCGCAGGCCCTGGTACGGCGTCCGCGGTGGGAGTCTCGTCGGCCAGGCCTGGCTTTGACAGCATGGGAGTGGCCATGGAAGGATGTTGACGGGAGCTTAGAATACACCTATTTTGCAGATTTTGTTTCTCTGACGCAAAACAGCCTGCATTTTTCTTATAAAAACCCACTGATTTGGAACCCGGCTCCGCACAGTCTGTGCCTCCTGCACTGTGTGCGGCAAGCTCCTCCGCCTTCAAAGAACTCCTCGGTCTCACGCACACCCTCTGTAGCTTCATGTGGGTGGTCCTCGCGTCGAACCTGCTCTGCCGGGCTGTCCGCACAGCCCCGTGTGCAGCTGACCCCGATGCCACAGGGCTGTGTGGGGCTGAGGGTCCAGCCGCTTTCTTACTAGAAACCGGCCACGGGCTCAAGGCTCGTAACTGATGTCACCTGGAGTAGGAGCCTGTTTACCAAAGTGCGTAAAATGGCAAGAAAGGTTTTTGTCGCTTGTCTCAAAATTCTCAGCCAAGAGAGGTGGTAAAGTAGGTCGTATGAGGTACAATGCTTACTATGCAAAGAGACGTTTCTAGAAGGCAGGGCAGCTGTGGTGCGCAGTGTCCAGAACACCCGTGTCCAGTGAGGGATCAAGACCTCAAGTCTGGTCACCCTCCCTGCCCTGATTTGGTCATGGAATTTCGTCCACGTGTTCTAATTTTACCTTTCTACTCTTCTAGGTACCTATTATTAAATTAACAGACTCTTTTACTGAAGTGAAAGTTGACATCAGCTTTAACGTGCAGAATGGCGTGAGAGCCGCGGACCTCATCAAAGATTTCACCAAGGTCAGTGAATTCACAGTGCTGGGGCAGCGCTGCTGGGAGAAGCGGCCTCGGCGTCGAGGTTCTGCGCTGGTCAGCTTGGCCGGATTGTGTGTCTGGGTGTGGCTGTCAGAGCCTCTCTTCTGTGGCCTGGCTTTGCTGTCCTCAAATCTGCTGGTGACCGTAGTAGTTTTAGTGTGACCTCAAGTGAGGTTTCAAGGCCGAGAAAGCTTTCGCAGAACCTCCCTGCCCTCGGGAAGCCCCAGCAGGCGTGGAGCAGAGCCCCGTCCGTCTCGGTCTCCCAGTGTTTGGCCCGGGACCTGCCGGCCCTGCTCTGGGCCCTGCCCCCTGCCAGTGTCCTGCCCTGTCTGCGGGGACTTGAGTCTGTCCCCGCTTCTGCTGGTTCCGGTTTCCTCCGGGATGGGCTGACTAGGCAAAGGACAGGGAGACGCTGGTCACTTGACACCTTGTGGCTGTGGATCATTGCCCTTTTTTTCTTGCTTATTCTTTTGAAATTTTAACAAAAGAAATAAATAGCACCTGTATGCATATTAATTTATACTTTTTTAATGTAATATTTTAGAGACTTTTTTCACGTTTGCACAGATGTGTTCCCTTCATTTAAAGATGCTGTTTCTGACTTCGACCATAATGTTTAAAAAATGGTTGTTCCTCCACACTGTTATTTCTCACGCGTGTTTACTCTGATGCGACTTGCAGAAGTGCACACTCTTGTCCCTTTCGAAAGTGTACGTGTTCACAGTTGGTGTCGGGAAGAAGCGGGGAATCCCTAGTAACTGCCCCCACCCCCACCCCCACTGGGTAATGGTCGTGAAGGTTTCTTTCCAGAAGCTGGTGCCTCTGTCATCCCCGTCCGGGTCCCCAGCCTCGGGTCTGGTCCCCGTGTGCCCGCTCAGGCGCTCTCATGTGCCCTGTGGAGCGGGGACGGTTCCGGCCACCCGCCCCCACGGAAGCGGGTCTTCAGGACCCACCCACGGGCAATGATTCTTTCCCTTACTGCGCACTTTAGAGGGGACTTTGTCCCGTCCGGGTCGTGTTTCCCGCTCACAGATGAGCCTCCTGCTGGACTGGCCGGAGCAGGTGCCTTGGATGGGCTCCACCCACGTCCATGTCCCGTCCTGCCTGCCGCTCTCCACGGCCGCACGTCCCCTGATTCCCGCAGCGCGCTTTCTCGGGGCTCTTACCACGGAGGGTGGGCTGCAGTGCAGTGTGCAATGCGAGGACCGGCGTGTGCGCAGAGGCCAGTGTGCCGCTCCGCTCAGGGCTGTTCCTCGCGCAGGAAGTGGTCGACACGCGCCTCTTCTCTTTCAGAAGTACCCTGTGCTGCCCTACTTGGTCTTGGTGCTGAAGCAGTTCTTGCTGCAGAGGGACCTCAACGAGGTGTTCACAGGTGGCATTGGCTCTTACAGCCTCTTCCTCATGGCGGTCAGTTTCCTGCAGGTACGTCCTGTGGCTCCGACGTGCTGGTGCGCACTGACTTTGACACCTGAGTTAGGGAGTCACTCTGGAGAAGTGTAAGTCAGACTCTCAGTCGCAATGCTGCTGTTGAATGCTTAGGTCTTCTGAGACCGGGTACCTTTTGCAATTGAGCAAGCACGTGTTAAGAACTCCCTGGGGAAGAATATTTGTTTATGTTTTTGTTTTCAGTCTCGTATGTTTTAGTCTGGGACTTTTCACTGCAAGCTTTAACATGCAAAGGCATCCCGTGGTTTCCACGAGTGTGAGTGGTAGGAGAGAGGCCAAAGTGGGAGTGTCCTCTAAGCAGCTGCCCTGTGAGTCTCGCCGGACGGGCCTGCCCATGGGCAGGAGGTGCAAGGAGGCCGGCGGCCGGCCTGGGTGCGCACGAGTCTGTGACGTCCAGCCGGGTCTGCATCCGGGGCACCTCCCGGGTTGTCTCGGCCCGCTCCACGCCGCTTGACCGCGGCACGGCCTCGTGACCTGCCGGCCGCTCTGCTCCACCAAGTGTCCGCGTGTCGATAGCCACAGGATATGACAGTTGTCCCACCTCAGTAAGCCGGAGAGTGCCCGACATGATTTCTTTCTCTCTCTTCTGGTTTTAGTTGCACCCCAGGGAAGATGCTTGCATCCCCAACACAAACTATGGTGTTCTCTTGATAGAGTTTTTTGAATTATATGGACGGCACTTCAATTATTTAAAGACTGGCATCCGGATAAAGGACGGGGGTTCATACGTGGCCAAAGACGAAGTGCAGAAAAATATGCTGGACGGCTACCGGCCATCGATGCTTTATATTGAAGATCCTCTCCAACCAGGTATTGAAATTAGGTAAATGTGTGGGCATCGTCAGTCGCTGTGTTGCACGTGGAATTCTCTGTAGATAAAAAATGGAGGGCCACTTCTCATGTGGTCGTTCTGTGTTTCATCAGAGTGTTACATACATAAGCAAACATGAAAATAAACACACACTCCAGAAACACATGTTGCCAGCCTGGGAACCAAAGGGTTGCTGGTTCGATTCCCGGTCAGGGCACATGCCTGGGTTGCCGGCTAGGTCCCCAGAAGGAGGTGCATGAGAAGCAACTGCACATGGATGTTTCTCTCCCTCTTTTTCTCCCTCCCTTCCCCTCTCTAAAAATAAATAAAATATTTTTAAAAAAGAAAAGGAAAGTAAACCCCGCTGCGGACTGTCAGGTGGGTGGGGAGTGGAGCCCCCCCCTTCTGCCGGCCCAGAGGAGCGGGCGTGGTGGTTGGGGCGGGTCTGTGCACATCTCCAGCGTGACAGCCTCTTCTCCTGTCGTCGTGGCCTGATTCCAGCCCGCGGTCAGCCAGGGGGGTCATTATTACTGTTGGACCTATAAAATCACACAGGTTTCCAGGGTACAGTCCTACAGCACGTCATCTGTGTTTTGTGTCGTGTGCCCCCAGCCCCCTTCCAGTCCCCTTCCGTCAGCACTCGCCCCCGGCCCCCCGCATGGGCCTGGGAGGGTTTTCCAGCCAGGGCGTTGCGGTGAGGACTCTGCAAGCCCACAGGCAGCCACGCAGCTCAAGTGCAGAGAAAGGAGGATCAAGTCCCTCTCAGAGTCCCCCCTCTGACTGTGCCGCTCTGGCCTCGCAGTGGCTTGACAGTGAGCAGAGAAGGAATTCCTCCCGCACTTCCCTGATGTTCTGGGCTCGCTTGTAGCCATTCGCTTTCATGCGTTAACTTGGAAAGTCAGGGAGAAAAGGGTGTTAAGAGTAGGTGCCCAGCAGCCTTTTCCAGCTCATGAATATTAATCATTGTGTGCGTTCGGTCTCTCGGGACACGCTCAGTGGGAGCCTGCTCTGTGTAAAGGACACACAGATCCCCCCCGGGTGGTCTGCCGCCTGGAGCTCCTGAGGTGCAGTGGGGCCAGCCACAGAGCCGCTGGGAGTGAAAACTGGGTGTTTCCAGTTCATTTTGGTCTCACTCCTCAGGTAGAACAGGCAGGGACTTATGTCTGTGGGCTGGCGGTGGGACGTCCCCTGCGAGGCCAGAGTGTGTCAGGCGACCTGGGCCCCGGACAACTTCTCACTTCACAACGCTCAGGCTTGGAGCCGGGGGTGTGCGGGTCCTGGGTCCCGAGGGCCACTCCGGTGGGGCAGCACCTGCCCGTGCTTTCTGGAGGGAGGCCTGTGAACACGTAGCCGTGTCAAGCATCGGGCAAGCTTCCCGTCTCACGGGCACATTCTCCCCCAGGCAACGATGTGGGAAGGAGCTCGTACGGGGCCATGCAGGTGAAGCAGGCCTTCGACTACGCCTACGTGGTCCTGAGTCACGCTGTGTCGCCCATAGCCAAGTACTACCCCAACAACGAGACCGAGAGGTAACGGTCCGCCCGGGGTCAGCCCGCGCGTCGGGGTTGGCTGTTGCGCCTGCCTTCCGAGTGACGTCCCTCCCCCTCCTCTTCTCCAACGCACACAGCATATTAGGCAGAATCATCAGAGTGACGGACGAGGTGGCCACGTACCGAGACTGGATATCGAAGCAGTGGGGCTTGCAGAGCAGGCCTGCGCCCGCCCGCCACGGTGAGCGCCCGCCCTCGGTCCACTGTTTGAGGCTTTTCTGAGTTGTGTGCGTTTGATGGGAAGAAACGTTTTCCAATCTTTTGCCACTCTTTCAGGAAATGGTGTTACCTTGATAGTAGATTCTCAGCAGTTAGATAAATGTAATAATAATCTGTCTGAAGAAAATGAAGCCCTTGGAAAATGTAGAAGTAAAACTTCGGAATCTGTTAGTAAACACTCTTCAAACTCTTCATCAGGTCCGGTGTCTTCGTCTTCGGCCACACAGTCCAGCTCTAGTGACGTCGTAAGTATGAAGACAGGGCCTTTCTAGCCCTAGGCGCCCGGGAAGCCCGTGGGGGGCGGCCATCTAGGGGGCGGGGCCGCCTGGCTCTCTGATTGGTCAGTGGGGCGCTGAATGATGCGAACCAGCATCCTGCTTCTGGGCACTGGTCCCATTTCCCAACACTCGCGCCCGGGCTGCACCGCGCACGCTGGGCGAGCCAGCCGGCCCTGCCGTCCCTCTCTCTGTCCACACTGACACATTTCCACGTGCATTGCGCCTGTCCCTGCAGTTCCCCAGAGAGCCCCTTGCTGACCAGAGCCCAGTTCTGGTCCTGGTTTGCTTTTCATGTAAAATTGACACATAAGAAGGTTTTAATTGTACACCCACTGAATTTTCACAAGCATATACACACGTGTGTGACAAACCCAACGAGACAGAGACTGCGTCTGGAGGGCAGTCCCGGCCCCACCCTTGGGGGTGACACTGTCGGGAGTGCCTCACACGACAGATCCGTTCTGCCTGTCCCGGAATGTTTGTGACGGTGTGTGTGTGCTTCCTCGTGTGGGGCTGCTTCCACTCGGTAGTGTTCTTGAGCCTCTTGGTTTAACTTCTACAAATTGAGACGTAATTCTCATAGTTGACCATTTAAAAATGTGTCATGTGCTGGTTTTCAGTATATTCACAACCGTCACCTGATTCCAAGGCGTTTCCAGCCCCCAAAAAAGCAGCCTGGCGGCGGGGCCCCTGGCAGCCCCCCTTGCACGCCCCCGCGGCCCTGCTGTGCGGCGGCCCCGTCCCAGTGCATCTACGTGGGTCACAGCCCCACTGGCTTTTCCGTATCGGGGTTACGTTTGCGTTTGCCTAATTGAGATGTAAAGGGGCTTCCCCATCAGTCGAAGTTTGCCTTTGGGAGGCCGTGCAACATGAAAAGCCACCCAAACAGAGAAGGGATGTTTTTTACTGCTGACAAGGACTGTGCGTCACAGTGGTGCCGTGAAGCCTCACGTGCAGAGCTGGTGGGGTCCCCTCTGGCTCCTGGAGTGAGCTGGCCTGGGGGCGGAGCGGCAGGGACAGAGCCTGTGAACCGGCAGTGCTGTGCAGGGCTCAGCCTAGACCTGAGGGCACAGTGGCCACAGCCAGGCGGGCTCTGCCGTGGGTCCGGGACGTCTGTGTCACAGGGCGCCTGCGGGAAGAGCTCCCTGAAGCAGCTGCTGTCACAGAGACGTGGGTGGGGCCTCGCAAACCGCCCTCCCTCGGGGTCCCACCCCTCGCCCTGCACTGCAGTCCATTTTGAACACTCGCACCTCCGTGGGCTTCTTTAAGGTGATGGCCAAGGTCAGGCGTGGCTGGTGGTGTAACAAGGCACAGAAGCCCTCTGATAAAATGAGCCTCTCTCAGTGTTTGGAGGAAGACTGGAGCACTTTGTGGGGGGCAGCCCTCCGTGTGCCCCTGCAGTGAATGCACTGGTGCCACACTGGGCGCGGGGAGTGGTCAGCTGAAATGTCTTCCTCTGTGTGTTGCGTGTCCGAATTATCAGTGCATCACGTTGTAACTCTTGTTACTCGCGGTAGGATTCCGACGCGACGCCATGTAAAACCCCGAAACAGCTGCTCTGCCGTCCGTCCCCCGGGAACCGCGTGGGGTCGCAGGAGGTGCCCGTGGAGACCTTGCAGGCCGGCGGGAGAGCGCAGGGCACCCCGGCCACCAGCACGCCGAGCAGCGTCAGCAAGTCGCAGGTGCGTGCGGCATTCGGGACACAGCACCTCCGGCGTCTCACCTGTCGGTGTGCGTCACAGGTGGAGGACAGCGCGGGGCCGACACACAGCCGGCCTTGTCCCGAGAGGTCCCAAGCTCAGCAGCACTTGCAGTCTCGGGATGTCCCGGCGGCTTTGCAGGCCTCTGGGGGCCCTCGTAAGATGTCCCAGTCCGCTGCTCGGACTCCGGCTACAGCATCAGGGAGTCACACCGGGGTGTCCGGGGTCCTTGCCTGTGGAGCACACGCAGACGCAGCTGCACGTGCGGCTTCACGGCCGTGTCGCACACGTCTGGGTGTGAATGCCGCTTGCACGGAGTGCGGCACAAGGAACGCCCCTTTTCCTTACACAACCACAAGCGTGTGATCCCGTGACATTACAGGATGACACTCATGCACTTACGACAGTGTAGGTGACGTGTTGAGTTGGAACTATAAATCGTGACACCCATGTTATTACCCTTCCGACCAGCCTCGGGCAGGTGTTACTTCTGTCGGGCCCTGTGTTTCGGTCTGTCTGCCTCGGATGCGGAGCGGCCCGAGTTGCAGTGCCCAGGCTGCGGACAGCCGTGCACAGTTGTCCAGCGTCTCAGTTAGAGGGGGCCACAGAGCGTCTCTGTCTGAAGGGTTTTTTATTGCCTAGAATTGTATTATCGCAATGAATCAAAATGAGGGGAAGAAGCCACGTTCCCCTGGGCTCCAACCTCAGGCCTCCGACCTCCGACCCCTCCGAGCACAGCAGGACGGGGGAGGTGCTTGGCAGGAGGGAGGGACTGTTGTATTGGTGCCTCCCGCCCGCCGTGGCCTGCAGACTCCACCTGACCTTTCCAGCCTTAGTTGTAAGCACCAAAGAGTTCTCCAGAAGGGGCAGTTAATGTGGCAGGTGGCAGCAGAAGGGGCAGCCAGCTGTCACACCGCTGACCTGGCTGGCAGTGCCAGTTAGCGCTCGGTGTGTGGACTGGGGGGTCCCCTGAGAAAAGTCGCCCATTCTGTCTGGTCTGTGAGAAGGCCAGGCGGTGCTCTGGGCTTCTCGGTGCCCCCGGTGAAAAACGGCTCCGTTTCAGAGCAGTAACCCTGGGGGTGTCATTTTCTGCCTGCCACGTAATCGTGGCCGTGGCCGTGGAGAGGCCCGGGCGCCGGTGTCAGTGGGGTGTCGGTGGGTGTGCAGGTGCAGCGTGGCGCTCATGTCTTGGTGCCCGCTTCCTCTCCCGCAGCATGGGCCCGCCCGGCTCTTCCGGTCTTCCAGCAAAGGCTTCCAAGGCACGGCTCCGACAGGCCACGGGGCCTCGGCGACAGAGAAGCAGCATCCGGGCCGGTCCAGTAACCAGTATTTCCACGGCAAGAAGAGGAGGCACAAGAGGGACGCCCCGCTCGCAGACCTGTGCAGATAGTCGGCGGGGCGCGGTGGACCGCCTCTGCGCAGAGACCTCAGCCCGGGGCCGCGGCCGGGACTCCGGGGACGTGCCCCAGCCCGGCGCCGTCCATGCGTTGATTCAGCGTTTTTCCCCTGCTCACCGCAGAACGGATCATGAAGACTGACAGCTGCAGGAACCAAAAGCAAGCAAAGGGGGGGAAGGCTGCTCGTGGATAAGTCACGTGCTACAACAGGGTCATTTTAGGATTTGAAGCTTGAATGTAAATGAAATGTATTTCTCATTGGCTTCATGCAGAGTTAGGGGACTGGGAGTCAGTGGGGGGCGAGGAAGAACACGGAATTCGGAGGGCCGGGGAGGGCGGAGGACAGGCATCTCGTAGAAAGCCCAGACCCCAGCGGGGGGCGTGGCCTGTGCATGTTTTTTAAAAAGTATTTTTGCACATGTTTATCATTTTATTGTGTGTATATATAGATGACCACATAGGAAATTGGCATTTGTAATAGTGGATTTGTTAATACTTTTTACATAACATTACTGTTTAAATCGTAAACAGGTTCTCTCAGGATTAGTTTGCAAAATAATCTGATTTGTCATAACATCCACACGTAGGGAAGTGATTTGTTCTCTCGATCGGTTTTCCTTGGCAATGAAATGACAGGCCCTGGTGACCTGCTGCTGCGGGAGCGTTTCCTCTCTCGAGAAAAGGTTCACAGCGGCAAATGACGCTCATTTTATTTTGTACAAACGAACATACGTGTCTGTGCTGTGTCCTGGTGTGTGAGCACTGAAAACCTAGTCATCTCAAAATCAACTTGCGACCGTTTTCTAGAGTGCTGTCGTCCTGACCTCCTCGTGTGTGTTTCCTTTGCGGTCTTTTAAAATTTTTATTTCACTCTTTTATTTTCTAAAATCTCTGACAGGGAGGCACGGGCCGCAGCCCTTGCAAGCATTGCCGGCACCGCCGACCCCGGGGGCTGCCAGTGCCTGGGCCCCTCGCCCCAGCTCGGGAGCCCCGGTGCCGCGGCTGTCGGGGAGCACGCCTGCAAGCAGCTTTCGCTACGTCACACCTGCGAAGGACTGTTTCCTCGTGCTCCACTTGACACTTTCGGTGTTGTCGATCGTCCAGAAGGAAATGGTCTTTACGATGGGCCTGTTCTGTGTTGCCTTATTAAGACCAAATACTCTTGTCAGCCCGTCCCTCACCCTCTCCTTCCATGGAATTGTTGTCTTCAATTAAAACTTTTTTAAACCTCCGCTTGTTTCAATCATACTGTAAGTTTCGGTTGTGGTCAGCTCTGAGATGTGTCACTCTGGTTCGTCATGTGCTGAGTTTGCAGCTCGGTTGGGGGGTCGCCCCCGGTCGAGTGTGCGTGACGCTTCTGCGAACACTTTCTCTGGCCAGAGCGTCTGTGTTCAGCGTCAGCGTGGGCTCTGCTGGCCGCGGCCATTTCCGAGAGGAGATTCTTTTATATGTGTGTACATACAAAGTACTGTTGGCTTTTAGGAATTTCTTTTATATACGTTTATGAAATACTGAAGACCGATCAGACCATTAATGGACACTTAGTGCAACTTTTTATAAAGAAAATAATGCTAAAGTCAGACCAAAACTATAATGTCATCACTGAAATCAGCAATTCTCAATGTGTTCGTGTTTTAATTCACAAGGGAAAAATGCGTTCCAGACCCGGAAACCCTGATACCTGTGCAGAACCGTGGGAGGTTTTAAATGTCACTTTTAAATGTCACGTTACTTGGCCGGTGTTTCAAACCTTCCGAGTCCCATTTTACCCTGATCAGAATTTGTATCAAGGTGTCAAGCTTCCGTTTGTTTGAAACCTGTTTGTCCTGACGCTGTACGCATAATCACAGTATTTATTTTCTAGGACCGTTGTGAGTGTGTAGACCTATGTTTACTGCTAAGGGAACAATTATTTATAAAATAAAGTGAAATTCAGTATTCGCTGCCTACTTCGGACACTTCATACTCACAGACCCACCTGCCACGCTGACCGTGTGCTCAGAGGACCGCCCTCATCGTTGGAAGCGAACGGACTCTTGGGGCGTGGGTAGCCGTGTCCGGTGAGCATGTGATTCTGTTCAAAGTGCTGGTAGCGGGAAGATAATCTTGATTCCATTGGGAATCTTAGGTTTTCGTAAACTTATTGGGAAAATAGTTTTTCCTGTACTGCTGATGTTTCTTTTTGGTAAACAGTATCTTTCTAAAAAGGACAAAAGCGTGAAGGCGAAATTGAGGCGTGTACATTTCCTCAGCCGACCAGCATTGTATTCGTGTGTTACTGTGTGTCTTGCAGCGAGCAGGGCGGAAGCCGGCTCGTTTTTCAATCCGAAGTAAAGTAACTTTGAAGAACTTCCCGTGTGCCCGCTTGTTTTGTTCTGCAGCTGCGATCTCGGGTTTCTTGACTCCCATCTCACCGCTTTGCTTTGAGTTTGGTACTTGGAAGCTTTGGTGAACCCATCAGAAACACGTCCTTTCAGTGCTCCAACCCCTGCACCACGTCCACGAATCATACACCTGTCCTTTGCCAGATCCTGGGGACAGAGGGTAGACAAATTCTGCCCCACCGTGGGGGCTCCCCTTTGGTGGTCACGTACGTGTGCCCGGTCAGTGCCGATGCTGCGTGCAAAGCCGTGACGGGCGTCCGAATGCTGGTTTTAGAGGTGCTGACATGTCAGAGGCATCGGCACAAGACCCGAGTGGCTCTGTTTCCACGGTGAAGGTGAGCACGCCTCTCCCTCCAGCTCTGAGGGGTCCGTCCAGGCGCCTGGTTTTTCACGCCCGCATCCACTTCCGGGAGGTTGCCAGCGCCCTGCGGACCTTGCCCTGGCCTGTGGGACCGGCCGGCTCCGCAGGCAGCTGCCCTCCAGTCTGGACCCTCCCGTCACCACGCAGCTTTTATTTGCTTGGCCCAGATGTTCCCGGACAAGGTCTTGGGGCACCGTGTGTGCCGCAGGGAGAGCATTTTTAATCGTGTTGTAGAGCTTACACCCCACCCCGCACATCATCTCCCCCCACCCCGTGTCACGGCAAGGCGAGTTGTGTTTGCCGTGACCTGCAGTGACGAGGGTTTGGGGTTCCCGGGGCCGAGGGCGGGCCAGGAGAGGGTGACACCGTGCGTGGCAGTGCCCTCTGCTGCCGTGGCCTGCTCCTTGCAGAGTAGCCCTTGGTGACTGGGGTCAGTTACCGAGGTTGCCCTGCGAAAATCCCTAGGAACCCCTGCTGTCGGAGCAGAGCGAGAAGCGTCGCTGGTGTTTTTGCGGGTTGTGGCCGTGTTGTCGCAGTGCTAACAGAGGTTTTTGTCCGTTCCTTCCATCACAGCACCACGCGGTTGATTTCTCAGCGTGTTAGTCACCCGCTAGGAATGCTGATAGGAGAACCGATTGCTTCTGAATATTCAGAAGTTGAAGGTCGAAAGTATGAGCGCCGTGGCCAGTCGTGCGGTGAGGACTACTGGAATGTTAAGATGCGTGGTTGGAAGGGTCGGTCCCCGCTGTCCTGGCTCAGGAAGCGTGTCATGGAAACCGGTGTTCTCCTGAAGCACGCACGAGCGGGGCACCCTCTAAGTGGCTCTCTTGAGCTTAATTGAGTGGAAAAGTGATACTTCACAGTTACCCTGGATCCTCATGGTCGTTAGTGACCCGGTTCCCGCAGTGAATGTTTAGAGAGTATGTCTTGTTAACATGGGGACCGACAGGTAGCGCGGTTCCTTGGAAGTGTCTTTGCAGCTGTTCTGAGCCTCAAGACTTCAGTTAATGCCATTTTTTTAGAAGATTTTATTTATTTAGAGAGAGGGGAAGGGAAGGAGAGAAACATCAACGTGTGGTTACTTCTCACGTGGACCCCACTGGGGACCTGACCCCACAACCCAGGCCTGTGACCTTGACTGGGAATCAAACCAGCCACCCTTTGGTTCGCAGGCCAGCACTCAGTCCACTGAGCCACACCAGCCAGGGCCAGTTAACACCGTTTTGTGCAAACACTCACGGGCAGGGTCAGTGTGAACACTTGTGAGCAAACGTCAGTCCTCTGCCGGGTGTTCAGCACAGCTAAGGAGCGAGCCAGGCCTTCCTGCGGAGGTGACCTGCCCGGCTCGGACAGTGGCTCGGCCCAGAGGCCATTCCTTCCCCTGCCCCGTGAGCTGTGTCGGCTGGACACCTTAGGTGACTTCCTTTCATCAGAGAGAATGGGCCACGTGCGTTGAGTGCTGACAAAATTATTAACCAGAAGCAGGGCTTGGAAACGCGACTGACCTAGTTGATATCCAGAATTAAATATTTGCTCAAGGACAGTTTTTCGTTAATCTGCTAATGTTTGTTTTGTGTCGGGGTGTTTGGGGTTTTTTTAAGTCCTCAGCCTTTGCATTTCCTACTTACGTGCCTGCGTCGACCCTACTCCCTCACCTGCCAGCGTGGAGGAGCCGCCCCTTGAGGAAGAGGTCAGCGGAGGGAGGGGGGACAGCGCAGCCTCCGGTGACTGCAGACGGGAGGGGCCTGCTGGGTTGACTGGGGCAGCAGGAGGGGGTCACAGCCGGAGCGGGTGACAGCAAGGCGATCGATCCGGTGTTCACCTCTTCACCTGTGCGTTTCTGCAGCGCTGCTTCCCTGTCCTCTTTAACCCAAGTCCTTGCGGGTCCCTACGGCCTTGGCTCCTCCTCCTGGCGGTGGCAGCTGGGTCTCCAGGCCTGGAGGGACTTGTTGGGAGATTCGTTTTATCTTAGAGGCACCTGGCTGTCCCCTGCCCGGTTCCCTGCGGAGGGTGGGCAGGCCAGGGACAGGCCCGGAGGCCAGGGAGGGGTGGGGGGTCCTCCGTCCTGTCCTCGTCCCTGAGGTGGTCAGGGGTCCCTCTTCCAGTGAGGTGCCTGGGTGTCAGCCAGTCTCCGAGTTCAAATTACCTTCACCTTTCACCCCAGGTTCTGTGCAGGTCCGAGCTCTCTCCTCAACCATGTCATTTGTTACCTTTGGTTACAGGTTACTACATGTTTCTGTCCCTAACCTTCAGCTCCGAAATTTAAGATCCCCTCTGATTTTCATATACACGGAAATGTTCAGGAGTCACTTTTTACAAATAAGCCTTTTGCAGGTCCCATAATCCTAAAATCCAAAAAGTTGTGGGGAATGTCAGTGCGTTGGCACAGAACCCAGTCCTACAAGCACCGTCCAACTGCACACTCGTGTCCTACCTGGGAGGTCGGGGGGCAACCTGCGTGGTTTCTGGATATTTGGGGTTAGGGACATGCTGCTGGGTGGATGAGGCCTCTGCCCGTCTGACTGGAAGCTGGGTGAACCTGTGTTTTTCTCCAGTAACTTTTGTATTTCTTCCCCTGATGGGCACTGCCCTCTGTGTTAGGAAGTGTGGACTCCAGGGCTGTGCTGGGAGTTGCACCATCTCTAAAGTCTTCCAGTGTTGTCTGGGTACTGCTAAGAGGCGCTAAGGAACTGACCAGAAAAAAACCAAATTTGATACAAATGACTTATGACATGCGGACACTTGCTGAGGTCCTGGCACCAGTCATCAGTACTACAAACAAATGACAGGCCTGGAAGTTTGGTTTTTGTTGTAAGCTAATGACGATTTCTTCAAAGATGCCGATGGTTTGCCTTGACGGTTCTGTGAGTTGCTTTTCTGCGCACTGCTGTGGCCCAGTGCTCACCACCAGGCTTATAATTCACGCTCTGCACTTCAGTAAAGGCTGTGCACGTCCGTCCACCTTCCGAACCTCTGGTCCGAGCCTCCGTGTGGGGCCCGAATGGCTGCTTTTCCATAATGTATCTTGTAATGATGAAGCCAGGCCCGCTTGGACACCAGCTTTTCTTGTGCTCAGATGGCAGTCCGTGGGTTTTCATCCTCCTCCGGGCCAGAAGTGGAGTGGGTGAAGCCTTTGGGCACTGTGTTCGCCCCCTGCCCCCAGGTGCCGCTCACCGGGTACCCCTTGGTCGCCTCTCAGCCACCGCCAGACTAGAACCGACTCCCTGGAATTGGGTTAGTGGCAGGTGCCAGCCTCGCTCTGTCCTCTGCTGCAATGTAAGGGCTTCTGCCTCTGCACCGAGAAGCTGGGTTACTTCGCCACACAGACCGTTGGAGCGATGAAGATGTCCTCCTCCCCAGAGAACAGAGGAGGCAGGATCCACAGCCAAGTGCGAGCAAACCGCCTTTCGGCGTTCTGCCACGTCAGGGAGCAGCGTTGGCAGTCCCCCGGTCCCCAGGGCCGGGCCGAGGGCGCTCGCCTGGGAGACACGTGCCATAAGGGGAGTCCCAGGTGGTCTACGCTGTGGACCGCACAGGACCCAAGGCTGATGGAGAGTGGGGAGGGGTCTAGACTGCAGACCACAGCCGCTCCAGCCTGGTCACTTCTTACACACTCACTGGCAACGGTCTCTCGGAAAAGTGTGATCCTGTTAGAGAAGTGTCTCACGTGGTAAGTTATAGGACGAACAATATACAGGTAATTCTGTCCATCTCCCCAGACAGTGGATTTACCTCATTTCTCAATTCCCAGTGAATGGGTGTTCCACAGTGAAGGACGTCAGTCACCTGGAAATCCCTGGCAGGAGGATCTGGTTTCCCTTCACCCCCTAGTCCCACTGAGCCCCTAAAGCTGGCCACTTGAGTATTTGGGGAAGTGTCCTCGATATTAGAAAAACATGTACAGCCCTGGCCAGGTAACTCGGTAAGAGCGTTGTCCCGATATGCCAAGGCCGCAAGTTCAATCCCCAGTCAGGGCACATACACAAATCGCTACTGCCCAGTTGGGGCTGCAGACCTTTTGTACTTACACCCATCAGCAGGCGAATTCACCAACGTGGCTTTGCACACACACACTTAAAGCAGTTGTGAAGTGCGTTCCGTCAGACACCTTAATAGTTTTTTAATCCAGTTCAAGGAAACATTTTCACGTGACCAGGCAAGTCCTGTCCCCAAGAAGAGGAAGGCAAGGGGTCACACAACAACCCCTTGAGTCACGAGGTAGCTAGACAGGGCACAGAGGTTGGGGTGGACCAGAGGGGCCCTGGGCCCTGCCAGGACAGTGACAAGCCGTGGATGGGGGCGGGGGAGTGGCAGTCTCGCCATCATTTAAAGCCAAATGGCTCTAAAAGTCTGTCTCCCTCTCTTGAGCCCCTTCCAACTTTTTGTGGCTGGGGTGGTGGTGGCGTGTTTTGCTCTGTGTCTCTGAATGACACGCCAATAATAACTCTTCTTGATTTTTAGTTCTTGAAATCGTGTTCACTTTGCACGCCCTGGACTCTGACTTTTCTTCAACAGTAGAATTTTTTTGTTTTTGTGACTTGGTGGACGTTGCCCTCGCCAACTGTGCTGTGGGGTGAACTTTTTTCTACACAAGTTTGTTTGTTT